ATTGATTTCTACAGTTAGCCCAGACTGAACAAACCAAACACTGGCTCTAAATATGGCTATACACATTTTTCACGGGCACCGTAGTTTCTCCTTCGCACTTGGAAAGGGAGGGTGAAGCGAGGGAGTGGCAACTACACCACTAGATGCCAATCAATCCTACACACTGGACCTTTAAAAGTCACACACAGGGCTCGAAATTAACTTTTTTCCTCAGTGTCCCGCAACTGTCCCAGTTTTAACAGTCTTCTATTCTAGATAATGAATATAGTTTGATAACTTTTAGAGTCAGTAACTCTCATTACTTCATGGACTGGAAGTTCTGCTAGTTGTTTCTGCAACTTCTATCTGAATTTTAAAAAATGCATTACTGCAAACTGCAGTTTAGCTTCAGATTGGTATACAGCATTGTAAATGTACACACTTTTAACACTTATTATTTAGCCCAATACTTTACAAACAAAATTACATATTTGAAGTAAAGTTTAAATATACAAAGGGAGGGAGGAGATAAAACTACTTAAATATTTACAAACTCAAACTAACTATTTACATATAGGCTAAGTTATATTGATTTTATGTTTATGTGAGCATGCATGTGACACAGCGTATAGCTGAAGTGGATGCCACATCACAAGTTTAACACCTAAATATTAAATGGCTATATATTCCATGACATATAAACAAATAAATTCATTTGGAATAATACTACTACTGTCCCAGAATGGTCCCAGATACTGTATATGTGTGTCAGTGGTGCTATTTTTGGGGTCCCCAGGACAACGGTCCATTATTAATTAATTTAGTCAATGCTGGTCACACTGAACAAACAGATTATACTAAATAATAGAAACCAGTAGATACAGATGGAGTTTGTATGTCTAACACTTCAAAGAAAGGTACATGACAACACTGAAGTCTCTGCAGCCCTTCCGAGACTGGCCCGTGTCAGTCTGGTTTACAGGAAGATGGTCTTAATGCTTCTAGACTGCTCGTCTGATCTCATTCCCTTTGGTCGGACTCGTTTATGCTGCATTTGCTGTCTGTTGTTCATGTTGGTTTTCATTGCTAGCGGCAACGAGGCAAATCAGACATGTCGGCTGACAACGGGACAACTGAAAAAAACAAACAACCCCGAAAGGATAAAACATTTGTGACGTTCTTCCAACTGACCTTTTTGTTTATAGAGGAGAATATACAGATATCCATCGGATATTAAGGAGATATGTGTTATCTGTGGATACTGTATTTGTATTTACATAGAAAAATCCATCCAAGAGGCCAGCAGCATTGTCACTAAAGCTCTTTATCTGTTAAAATTTCACAGAAAAATACAATCAAAATCCTTTTCATGAAAAGAATACAGTGTTTGGTAAAACAGTATTTTAGCATTCATTCCACTCCAGTCTCAGTGGGCTAAAATATAGATTATTATCATTGATTATTACAAATGCTCAACCTTAGAAATTAGGGTTGAGCAAGTATCTGGTATAGATAATGTACTTTTTACGAGTACGAGTATCATCAATGTAACGTGAATATCTGTACACAATAGCAATTTTTATTTAGAAAAAAAGAATTCTCTTCATATTGTGACTAAAAACATGGTCTGGGGCTCAATTCTGAAGCCATCAATGGTATTTATTATAGCAATAAAAAAAATGTATAAAACATTAACAACTTCTGGTCAGTCATGTCCAGTATAAGCAACGACTATTTTGGATATGAATATAGAACATAGTTGGTTGAACAGACACAGATACAGGAAATGATATACCTGGCTGATCACAATTAGAAATGGTAAAATTGTGTATCATGACCTAATGATAAACCAAATAATTAGAATATTTTGCTGTTTGTTTAGTGGGATTTTTACAAACTGCTGACATTTATTTTAAGCACCAGACAGCTAGCAGAGCTGGCAGCTGTGTTTTACAGTGCAACATGCAACATTTTTGGAGATTCCCATTATGGCTGCTACTGTTGCCAAAAACAATACTAAATATTCAGAGGTGTACTTCAAGGTTTCATCAAGCACAGGAAATCATTTCATCACAAAAAACAAAATGTAGGATTCACATGAACGCTAATCTTGCTCACAATGACCGATCTCTGTGCACCGAAGCCCTGCAGGAATTGTGTCATAGCACCCTTTTAGACTGCCGAGGCTCCAGACGTTGTCCAACACTGCAGTGCACACTACCACAAAATCTGCTAACACCTGCAAATACAAGGTGAATGAACCATGCGTATTTGTTAAAGCTGCAGGAAGGAGAGAGATAAAGGAGAAGCAGCAAGAGCCAGGACGAAGATATCAGATGATGTGGTGGTGCAGCATTTTTCTGTTCTCTGTCAGTAAAAGCACTCCGATGTCACAGTAAACAAAGCAAGGAGAGGTTAAAAGGGAACACATTATGTTGAGTTGTGCATTAACAAATATTAGTAATGGAGTTAAATCAGGCCACTTCCATTCATGCCATCTCAAGGAGTGTTTGAGTGAACTCATTTCCTGTTGCACTCTGCCTTACCACA